TAATATTTGAATAAGGCTAAATATAGATAATAATATAGATTAAAAATAGAATTAATTATAAATAAGATTAATTAATAGAATTACTTATTTGTTTAATTTAATAGTGATTGATAATTACTGTGCTATGTATTATGATTATATTATATACTGCACTGCATTTACTATATCACATGAATAAGTGATTGGTTACAATATATTATCTTATTAAGAAGATAATTGAGCATATAATCTCTTGAAGTTATAAAAATAAATAATTATTATAAATATAGTTACTATTACTATTTTAAAATACTTATATATGTATAAGCTTAAAATAGTAATAATATATTTATTTAGATAAATTTATAATAAAGTTTATTTTTAATTAATAAGTATAATATATTAATAGGATTTATTTAATAATTTAAAATCTAATTTATTATTATTAATTTTAATATTATAATATTTTTAAAAAAATTAATATTATATTATTTTTGAATTTTTTTAATAAAGTAATAAATTATTATTTATAGTTATATAAAAATTATAAGAATTATATTTTTAACTAATTATATATTTCTTTATATCTCATATTATAATTATTTGACAAGAAAGAAAAAATATCAAAATACTATATAACTTTAAATAAATAAGTCTAAATAATTCTCTCTTTTTAAAAAGATTACTTTACAAAAAAGATAGCTAAAATTTATAATATAAATAATTTTACTATCTCTTATATTAATAAAAAATGATAAAAAAATTATTTTCTTAATAATATAAGTATTTCTGATCTTAAATAAATTAATATAAAAAAAAACTATTAATTTAATTATCTCTCATAAATATTTAATTACTATTAAAATAAGAAAAAATTTCTAGATATATCATAATATTAATATTTTAATACTTATAATTTATTATATATTTTAAAATTATAAATTAGTAATAAAAGTAAAAAAAAAGCTTTATTTGAATAATAATTATAAAAAATATTTATAAAAAATCATATTAACTAAATAATTAAAGACTAATCTAAAATAATTTGATCTGATAAATTCAAATTCAAAATTTTTAGACAAATAATATTTAAAATTACTAGAAGTAATCAGATAAATTACTAAAAAACTTATATATTAAGTCTATAATTAAGTTTGAGAATGAAAGAATTATGATATAGAATTATTTTTATAAAATAATAGATAAAAAATTTTATCAAGAAATTTTATCTAACAAATTAATACAAATATTAAAATAATATAATTTAGATATTAATAATATTATTTTTTAATAGAATAATAATTTTAAGTATATAGTAAATTTAATAAAATAATAATTTATTAATAATAATATTAATATTATAAATTAATTATTCTAATCTTCAAATCTTAATTTATTTATAATAATAAGTTAATATTAAATTATATAATTTTTTTAATATAATTTTAAAATAAGATAATTTATAAAAAAAATTAAAAAAATATGAGAAGAAATTAATATTAAAAAATATATTATATTAATTGAATTAATATCAAGAAGAATTCAAAAAGTAATAAAAATAAAAGAGAACTATATAAAATATTAAATATAGTTTAATATATTTAATTTAGTTAAAAAATTAATAATAAATTATAAATTTTTTAATTATTTTAATAATTTAAAATTATTTAATAAAAAAAGAATAAAATAATACAATAGTTAAATTTTAAATATTTTATTTAATAATCTATATTATATTTATAATAATAAAAATTATAATATATAATAAATTAAATTAATTATTAATTACTTTGATATTGTTAAATTTTTTAAAAATAATATAATTTAAAAAATTTGATTTAAGTATTATATTCTTTTTAATTATTATTATATATAATATTATCATAATAGATAAGAAAATTATTTCAGAATATTTTATATTTTTCAAGTTTTATACAATATTAACTAATTTAAAATTTTCTTAATCTAGTAACCAACTAATATTTTATCCTTTATAATATCAAAGATATTTTTTATACAAGCAAAACTAAATATTAAATCTTACTAATAAAAGATATTCTTAAAGATTAAATAAATTATACAAGAATATGAAAAGAATTTTAAAGATTATAATGAATTTATTAAAGAATAAAATATTAACTAGTGATGAATTCACAAATAAGAAATATTATATAATCAAGAAAAAATAGATTAATATTCTAGTCATAACAAAAAAAATATTAAATTATGTGATTTTTTTAAAAAATAAATTAATTAAATTACAAAATTAATATATAATAGAAAAAATTCAAAATAAATATTTATTTTTGAAAAATAACTTGTATTTTGAAATTTTGTTTATGAAATCTCTTTTTTTATTCTAACAAAAAATATTTCTTGCTTTATAATATTTACAGTAATATTTTATAAAGTCACGTGAAATATAATCCTAACTACAATTCTAATCCTAATCTTAATTATAATTAACAGCTATTATCGTTACACATTAATCTTGCGATTTGATTGGTTTACACCTTAAAAAAATCACATGTTCCTAAATTTTTTTTGTCGTGGTTGGGGTATTAGGATTATCAACTGACGCTCTAATTTTAGCTATTGATTAACGAAAATTTCGTTTGTTTCACAATAAAGACCTTACACTAAAAATAAACGCGACAGACAAGTCTATCTGGACGTAATAACGATAAATAGCAACTGTGTGCATTCTATGATTCAATGCAGCTCTAAGGAAATAATGAGCTTAAATGACACAATAAATAGTGAATATTAAAAAAAAATGCTTGCTTCTCATTCGATAAGAATACTCGTCAAATTCCAGCCACAAGATAATTGGAACGCTAAAGCGATGTAATATTATCGAATCACCAGAAATTTCTTTATATAAGACATAGTCACAAACAAAAATGGAATATATCATAAATTTTTGCGTTGAGCATTTTTTAATAACTGGTCAAAGACCGGCGATAGTAAAACTCCAAGTTATTTACGATTTTCTCTTTTTTGCGTTTGCAATCGGATTGGTCAAATTCGTATGTTACACTTGATCTTTGTGATTCGAGGACCCCGTTTCTAGCAAATAAGACCCAGATTTTCCTTGAACAAAACAATGGACCAATTACATTAACTTTCTAATATCGTAGCATTATCAACTAATTTTAATGTCTTTTTCGCCAGCCATATTTACCAATAACTTAATGAATTAACACCAAATGTATCTTTAACGGCTTTCGAAGCAGAAGAAATCAAAGTCTCTTCTAGCAGTTTTACAAATGTGTGTGGTCATCAGTACATTTTGCTGATTATTATGTGTATTTTGCCGATCAACACGTGTCGATTGTATAGAGATAGTGTGCATATTATGCGCATCGGTGTGCATACGATGCTGAGAATCATGCGCCAAGAAATAATTTCTGGTCATTGTCGTCATACAAGTGTTGGAACCCAACATATATACTGATATTGTTCATTTTACGTAGTTACACTGTAGATTAATTTGTTGGGAAGTTGATGGGAAGTGTAACGGAACTTACATCAAATATACTTATGGTTCATTTTAAGCAGTTACACTGTGAATCAAGTTGATGGGAAATGTAACGGAAACTGCATCAAATATACTTATGGTTCATTTTACGTAGATTAATTTGTTGGGAAGTTGATGGGAAGTGTAACGGAGCTTTCATCAAAATATACTTATGGTTCATTTTAAGCAGTTACACTGTGAATCAATTTGTTGGGAAGTTGACGGGGAGTTATTACGTAGTTAGTTACACCGTAACGGTAGATCAATTTTTTGGACGGACTTGTAAGTATAAATTGAAGTCCTTAACGATGAAAAATTTTTTCCTTAATAATTTTCGCAAAATTATTCATTTGCATTGTTTTCGTTGTTTCCTCCCTTTCACTTCGAGACCTAGTAATTATTCTCAAAAATTACATCTTTATATTTTCGCTCACACCATAACATTATTTATTACAACGATGGCACCAATATCAATCTTTGATACGTTACCTACTCATGTCCGAGAATCGGCAATAACTTTACATGCTCTTTTAAAAGAATGTCCATATCTCATGATAACCATCGATCCTAACTTCATTACTGCCGTGCCTATTTGTGTGATCTGTGAGCAATGTATATTTGATGATAATGAATATGTGGAATACCAGGAATACCCAATGCATCTTCGATGTAATCATATGGATCTTGACCCCCTGGAAATGACGGAAATGACGGAGATTGAAAATTTCTCTCCAGAAATTACAAATCACCCCCTGGAAATTACAAATCAATCAATTGGAATCAAGGAAGGTCAAACTTGGTCTTCACCAGGTTTGACCAAACCGGTTAAACCCCTGGAAATTACAAATCACCCCTTGGAGATTACAAATCACCCCTTGGAGATTACAAATCACCCCTTGGAGATTACAAATCACCCCTTGGAGATTACAAATCACCCCTTGGGAATTACAAATCACCCCTTGGAAATTACAAATCACCCCTTGGAAATTACAAATCACCCCTTGGAAATTACAAATCACCCCTTGGAAATTACAAATCACC